TGAAATTACAAGCATTTCTTGACATGGCAGAGGATAAAGGTTCATTCGACTGAGAATTAGGATTTAACTTAATGATCTAGCTTCTGACATGATATATGAAGGGCTTTTTTGCCCCTTGTGAAAATTCATCAGTTAACTAATGAATGCATTGATTATGCAGATATTCTTCAAGGTTATGATGCCATTGAGAAGGGGAATGAGAGTCTCTCTGCTCATCTGGATGCATTATCAGACATGAAATTTACATATGTTGTTACATGGCAAATGTACGGTACATGTAAAAGAGATGGTGATCCACGTGCACAGGACATGCTTGATCTGATGACTAGGTAATTATTAAGAGTGAGTACTATAATTGCTTCCCTTCGAAATTGAAACCTTAGTTGAATGAAATTAATATGGGCGACTACTGGATCAAATGATCAATAACGACAGGTACCCAGCTTTACGTGTTGCTTATGTTGAAGAGACAGAAGAAACAATTGCAGATGAGTCTGAAAAGGCTAAGGTTTATTCGTCTGTGCTAGTGAAAGGCGGAATCAATGGTCATGACCAGGTAAAGGACAGTGAAAATTGTTGGAATCTGAAGGGTTGCAATATGAGAAAATGGCCTTAGAGAGTTCTTACAGAAGAAAGGAAAATCAAAGAAAACTTCCCTCTGGACCAACCAATGTTAATCACATGTTCTGTACTTTTTTTTAAACATTAATATTAGGTTTCCATATGTAAAACAGAATTATATGCGTAATAGTTGTGATGATACTCAGACTTATAAACTCATTGTATAGATTAACATGAAATTCTGATCTTTACAACCTTTATTGCAGAGCATTTCTCATTATAAATTCTATAACTTTAAGCAATATAGTTCTCATTCTGATACAATTTGACAGGAGGTGTATCGTATAAAGCTTCCCGGTCCGCCTAATATAGGTGAAGGAAAACCAGAAAACCAAAACCATGCAATAATTTTTACACGTGGTGAAGCCCTCCAGACAATAGATATGAATCAAGTATGTGTGCTACTAGGTAACGGTGTAAAAGATTCATTACAAATTTTTTTGTCTTTCTCACATTGTATGTACTCTCAGGATAACTATTTGGAAGAAGCTTACAAAATGAGAAACATACTGCAAGAATTTTTTGAAGACCGAGGACGCCGGGCTCCCACTATAGTCGGTTTGAGAGAACATGTATTTACTGGAAGGTCAGTTTATATGAACTCATTGATGTGAATGTTGTTGGCTATGCTTGAATGTCAGACTCGAATATGAGTTCAAATCTTACATGGACATTCTAAATTTGAATATGTGGGTCACGGTTGCAAGAATCTACAAAATGTTATTTTTCTTTATCTTATCTAATATTGTGTCTTGTACACTTAATTTTCATGTTCCAAATGAACTCCCTGGATGTGAGAAAAAGCTGATATCTTGCTACCCAAAAAACAAAAGTCTCTTTGATTCATCTAGCTTATAGTAGTCAGCGTATCAATGTGTCGCTCTTGATATGCTATTATTATTATTATTATTGTTATTGTTATTGTTATTGTTATTATTGTTGTTGTTATTGTTATTATTGTTATTGTTATTGTTATTATTATTGTTATTATTATTATTGTTATTGTTATTGTTATTATTATTATGAGTGTTATTATTATTGTTATTATTATTATTATTATTATGAGTGTTATTGTTATTGTTATTGTTATTATTATGAGTGTTATTATTATTATTATTATTATGAGTGTTATTACCTGTGACTCAGTGTTTCTACCCTAGCATGGTTCATGTCATACCAAGAGACAAGCTTTGTGACCATTGGCCAGAGAATATTAGCTAATCCTCTCAGGTAAACTTTTGGTTATTACCACATGTTTTATTTATTAAAATAATGTTTGATACAATGCACCATGGATGAATTCATTTCTGCCCATTTGAACAAGTGCATGTCAACAATTCTCATTTTCTACTTGGTGGTTTGAGATATGCTTTGTGTTTTCTATAACCAATCTTCTGACCATTAGATAAATCAGCATGATTATCAAATTTGAATCACTTTTTCTACTCCACTTTTCCTGCACAGGGTACGGTTTCATTATGGTCATCCAGATATATTTGATAGGATATTTCACATAACACGAGGAGGTATCAGCAAAGCATCAAAAACAATAAACCTAAGCGAGGATGTTTTTGCAGGTAGAAATCTGTAGCCATCTTTATTTTTGTTAACATGTTGTGTAATTTGTATGGTGAGGCACCTATTTATGTGCAGGATTCAACTCTGTACTGCGGCGTGGATATGTGACTTATCAAGAATATATCCAAGTGGGAAAGGGTCGTGATGTAGGACTAATCCAGATATCAAAATTTGAAGCGAAAGTAGCTAATGGAAATAGTGAACAGACGCTAACCCGTGACATTTATCGTCTTGGGCAGCAATTTGACTTCTTCCGGATGTTATCATGTTATTACACAACCATTGGATTCTATTTCAGTAACCTGGTATGTTTTTCTAGTGGCGTTTCTGACTTTCTGCTTGCGTTCCCTCCCTAGGGCTCTATTTGTATGTTGTTACTTTCTATTAGATTTCATTCTGTAGATCTTTTTCATTCTACAACTAAAATCTCTATTATCCTACATCTCCTTTCAACACTTTCTGCTTTTCTTGCATGCTGTTATTTCCTTATTATGCTACTTTCAAACAGTATGTTACATTGTTATGCTTGTTAACATGCATGTTTATTACTACCTTGGTTTTTAAATCACATTCATGTATCAATTTCTTTAATTGCTTTATTTCTTTCAGCATTTATCTCAAGTCTTCATTACTTCATACTAACTATAATTATACTGCCGAAACCTTTCAGGTATCAGTTATTTCAATTTATGTGTTCCTCTATGGGCAGCTGTACCTTGTTCTCAGTGGACTGCAAAAAGTACTCATAATTGAAGCTCGAGTCCATAACGTACAGTCCTTAGAAACTGCTCTGGCTTCACAGTCATTTATACAACTAGGACTCTTGACTGGGCTACCTATGGTTATGGAGATTGCATTGGAGAGAGGGTTTTACACTGCTCTAAAAGATTTTGTCCTTATGCAGCTGCAGCTTGCTTCTGTATTCTTCACCTTTTCTTGTGGAGCAAAATCTCACTATTATGGCCGAACAATTCTCCATGGTGGTGCCAAATATATTCCTACAGGTCGCAAAGTTGTGATATTTCATGCCACCTTCTCAGAAAACTACAGATTGTATTCAAGAAGCCACTTTGTAAGAGGGTTTGAGCTGCTGCTACTGCTGACTGTTTATGATCTGTATCGGAAATCCTATCAAAGCAGCATGGCATATGTTTTGATCACCTATGCAATCTGGTTCTTGTCGCTGACATGGTTGTTTGCTCCATTTCTGTTCAATCCATCTGGCTTTGACTGGCCTATAATTGTAGATGACTGGAGAGATTGGAATAAGTGGATACGGCAGCAAGGTGGTATAGGAATCCCACCTGATAAGAGTTGGCAGTCCTGGTGGGATGATGAGCAGGAGCATATTCGCCGTTCCAGATGGAGTTCTAGGATCATTGAAATAATTCTTTCACTAAGGTTTTTCGTGTATCAATATGGTCTGGTCTACCAATTAGACATTTCCAAAAACAGCAGCAATTATATTGTGTACGTGCTCTCATGGGTTGTCATAGGTGTGATTTTTCTATTGGTCAAGGTAAATTTTATAATTATCTTTTTCACACATTGTTTTTCATAAATTGATAATAATTAGTATACAATCATTGACAATCCTATGGAGAAAAACCAGATTGGATTGCTATTATAACGTATCAGAAGTCTTTAGGAAACCCTCCATACATGTGAACATCAGATCCTGTTAGTAATGAGAGTGCCCACGTAATACATTGATGCAGCTCCCTTAACAGTTCTTATAGAAATTTGAATTTTAATATTGTCAACTTGCAGTTCAATCTAATGAGCTGTGATGGTAAGGGAACTCTAATGGCTCATCCAATGTTATGCTGATATTATAATTCCTGGGAATTTTTCCCATTTTGAAAATGTCTTATAATTGTATTGTCACCAAGTTTGAACTAAATAATCTGAACTTCTGTATCTTTTTCATTGAATTATGCTTTATCTACAATGACTTCAACTACTGATAGCTAAATTAGATTTGGATTAATTCTCATTGGGATATTTATTTGTGTTGTACAGATAGTGAATGTGGGAAGGCAGTGGCTCAGTGCTAATCATCAATTTTTGTTCAGACTATTCAAAGCATGCCTTTTCTTGGCTGTTATATCTACTATTATCACGCTTTCGCTCTTATGCAATCTGTCTATCATGGACTTGATTGTGTGCTGCCTGGCTTTTCTTCCCACTGGATGGGGATTGATATTGGTAAGCTAGTCAGAGACATTTTTTTTTTCTTTTCTATATTCCTGTAATTCTGTAATCAGGAGTGTAAAACAAACCTTTACTTCTAATACTACAATTTTTTTTTTTCTTCAGATTGCACAAGCTCTAAGGCCACTGATAGAGAACACTGGAATCTGGGACTTTGCTCAGGTTTTTGCTCGATGGTATGATTTTGGTATGGGTGTGGTCCTTTTTGCTCCCATCGCCTCATTTTCTTGGCTTCCGATTATTTCAGCCTTTCAAACTCGGTTTCTTTTCAATGAAGCCTACAACAGGAGGTTACATATTCTACCTATTCTTCAAGGCCAAGGAAAAAAGAAGTGCACTTAGGTTGCTCATTCTTCTCTATGTATAGTCAAACCATATTAACAAAACCTTAGGTAGATGTAAAAATAACATAGGCATAACTTTTCAGAACCAATATAGGAATTTTATTGTGTAGCTAGAGAACAAATAAAATTTGAAATGATATACAGATTACCAGTAATACCAGTATTTAAGGAAAACTATTGCAACAAGTTGTCCCTCGAAATTTGGATTGCTAATAAAAATTAATCTGAGATAATTGAACAGAACTAATTAGAGTCTGCAATTTTCTTAAGCTCACTTGCAACTTCAATCATACTTGGTCTGTCATCTTCATTACGATATGTGCATCTCCAAGCAAGCTCAAATACTTCCTGCAATTGCTGTTGCTTTCCACTTTCTTCTATTTCACATGAAATTTTAGGATCTACGATCATACTAAACATTATATTTTAGTCATGTTCATGTCCCGTTATTCTATAAAGTTGAAAATTATAACATTCTGTATACATCAGTTTTTTCTGTCAACCTTCCAGACGATATATACTCAGGTGCAGATCCACCTGTAGTTCCAACTACTGCATCATTGACATGATCTTCACCTTCAGGGATCAAAACTGAGAAGTAGTATCCTGTGAGCTTCGCGACATAGTCTTTGTCAAAATATACATCTTTAATGCTCAAGTTTCTGAAAATCACCGGCCTAAAAAAACAGTTTTGGAGGTATGCAAGGGCATATGATATTTCTGAGCCAATTTTTAACCTGAGTTTCCATGGCAAAAATCCTGTATTACTGATAATATCTAGAAGACATCCTTGATCAGGGAACTCAAACTATGACTGGAAATTCTGTTTCGAGGCAACAACCTATTAGCTTTAAAGAATTTTAATGCATGCACATTTGTGTTGCTGTGACAATTTCTCGAACAATGCCTTCTACACCAACAAATGAGTTTGTGCTGTGAAGTTTCTTGATGAAAACAGGTTGGTTGCCCTCATCTATTGTACCACGGAATGTTATGTAATGAGCATCCTGTAGGGAATATTTTAAGCATTATCCCAAACTTGAACCCCATTGTGATCATACACTAAAGTACGGTGGCGTCCAAAGGGAAGAAAGCTAGAGCAAAAGAGTCGTCAACAAGTTTTAGGAACTTGTAAACCGTTCACGAGGTAAAGATTACACCCCTTAACGATCCAGGAGATTGTCAGCTCTAACAGGTCTGGAACCATGACTGATTGTTCGGGGATGAAGGTACAAATCCAACCTAAAAGAGATTGAACATGCCCTAATAATAAGCCTCTACTTTATTCTGATCGTATTCATGTGCGCTTTCTAACTAACATGCAATCAATAGGATTAACCCTAAACTTGTTTATCTATGTTGGTTGAATATTAATGTACAAATAAATCTATTATTGTCGATCACTTGAATTATAATCATATTAACTCTAACCAAGATTATTAATTATCTTATTAAGCGTGATTACAAGTACCAATTCCCTTTAAACATGCATAAAAGGTGTGATTAAGCAATAACAATAAATATATATCAAGCAACATGATAATCACCATAACAATAAAAATCATCATAAAATAATCAGATTAAAACATAATAATAGCAAGATCCTAGGTATAATACTAACAAGATTAATAACAAACTCTACCATGTCACTAAACATCAAAGATCAAATATTTAACCCTAACACGATACTAGAAAAGAAAATAGGAAGCATCACAGGAATCATAATTAATATAAGCAAATCACCCTAAATATCATACTAAGAAAAGCATCCTAACATGATACTAGGAATCAAAATAACATCCTAAACATGATTTCTATATCATAATATCAGTTAAACAATTAAAGCACTTACTTGGATGCCTCGTACCTCTTTCTTATAACAAAATACACACGTTAGTAACTTCAAGGAAAATAATAATCAAACAATTTAATTAAATAATTGAAAGAGATATTTGGGACTAAACCCTCATAAATTAAAATCTTTCACGTCTAGGGCGAAGGCAACTTCGAATTTTGCTAGGTGTGTCTAGATCTTGTGAATGCGGAATTTGTATGCAAAAGCTAGTTTAAAAAAGAGAGAGAGAGAGCTCAAGAGAATCTTGAAGAGAGTATTAGAAAACTAGAGAGTTGATGAGATTTGATGATTTTGATAGATGTTGATGATTGAAAACGGAGGTTTTAGGAGGGTATTTATAGAGAAAATCAGCCGGATGGATAAAAAAACGAATCAGAGTTTCAAAGAGAATAAAACAAATTAGCGACAGACGTCAGACATTAGCGCCAGACGCCAGAGCTAACGCAGACGCCAAGCCTGGCGCTAGGCACTGGTCCTGTCGTCAGACGCTAGACAGCAGTTTCCACACGTTTTCTTAATTTTATAAAATTTAGCCGTACAGAAGGGCAAAATCGTATTTTCCTTAAAACACTTCTTTTATTCTGATTAAAACTCTAAAAAGTCAACTAAAGTTAATTTATCAATGCTAATTAAATTAGGAACGAAAAGAAACTTCTAGAAGAATCTAGAAAACTATAATCAATTCTAATTGCATTAGGAATGATAAATCAATATTAGGCCCTCCTCTACATCATTGGGCCACATATATATACCAAATCGGGCCCAGTTTAGCAATTTGCAAATAACTTCCTCATTATTCATCGGAATTGGGCTTATAGTATATCGTTGGAAAGCTCTTTTCGAACCCGTCCCAACTACACTATTAATGGACCCTTCCATGGACCAAACCAAACTGGATTGTCTATTTTCTAAAACATAGTATTCCAAAAACAGAAAAAGAAAAGAAATAAAAACTAACCGCAACACTAGACTTTCCAGACTTTCACTTCATTCGATTATGATTCGACACGAAAGGTACTCATCACTGGGTTTGGTTTTGGGGAGACACAAATGGGTGTCTACACATCCTCTATCATATAATCTGAAGAAGTAAAGATGCTTATCTTTGTAACTTCGTTAGCTGAGAAAACATGGATGGGAAGTGCAACGAACGTGGTGGTCGGAAGGTTAATTTGATAGATAAATCACAAGGCTTTCGTACAATCGACAATGGCTTTAGGCCATCACTCTCCAACACTCACTACAATACTAATATTCTGCCTGTCTATTTCTTTCTCTTACCTCTCTATTTATTCTAAGGACTATTAACCCTAATAAACTAATAAAACTAGAATACCTATACTACCACTCCAAGTTAGTCTATTACAATACCGGCCCCCTAAAGTTCCACCTTGTCCTCAAGGTAGTTTATAATCAGCACTTGAATCTCGGCCTTAGAAACATCGATCCCTAGTCCAACTCTTGAATGGGTCAAAACTGAAAGCAGGCTGCATAGAGGTTTGTTGTTCATTGCTGAAAGATAGTACTCTCCTCATAACCCTTAGCGTTGTAGTAGAAAAATGCAGCATCTTGTCATGGGAAACAGTTAAATTTTGGGTGAAGTAAGTGATGTATGCATTGATGTGACTAGTATGCAAGGTAGGGAAAAAAGGGAGATAGTTTGGTATGAAGGCTTGGATCAAGTTGGCAAACGTTTGAATGGGTAGAGCTATGGGTTGGAGGATGGTGAAATGTAGGTAAAAATATAGGATAAGAAGATTGGGCTTTGTGGACATAGAATTGGGCTTTATGCCAGCAAGCCCAAAAAATTGCCTAAGCTCATTAAGAATGGGTTTTAGATGGAGAAAAATCAAGTCACGTGCCACCAATTTCCAATGCCTCCTAACATCTGCATGGTCAGCACTATGGTCAACAAATTTTGCCACATCAACCCTCCTCACATTTACCATTCCACCCCTTCTAGCTCCTTCCACTATTGGCTTCCTCTCCAAGCCACTTTAAACTTTAATTGTACTTTTCTTGTGTTCATCATCTGGACATGTCAGTTGTATTTCCCACCATGGTTTCCACCGTACTTCCCCGTGTCTCGTGCCAACGAAGAAGCATGAACCACTGGTCCACCACTAGATCCACTTCCTCCGGCCCCGCCCTTCTCGAAATTTCCTCCACCGATGTTACCTGCCTTGCTGAAACCACCAGCACCACCAGTACACCCACCAGCCTGATTGCGAGATCCACCACCAGGTTCGCCCTGCTAGGATTCTTCCCCTTTGTTTTGACCACCACACTCACCAGACTCGCAGCCACCCGCGCTACTGCTCAGACCCCTAACCCATCTACAGTCTTCCAAATGTTGAGAACACAGCCACGTAAAACTTGCAACCCCACATCGGTTGCCTCCACCTCTGCCACCGTTCCAGCCACCACTAGTGGTGGTTGTACCACCATACCCACCTTTTCCTGTTAGAGATCTAGGGCCATCACCGGATCTACTACCATCAGCACCGCCTTCCTCAAAAAATTCTTCTATCCTACTTCCATCGAACACACCACCGCCGGTAAACCCACCAAATAAATCACCTTTTCTCACCCTTCCTCTGTTTTGCAAGTAAGTGTGCATGATTCCCAGACCACCTGCAGCCCTGTAACACCCCAATAATTCTCCCTTTTCCAACTCAAACCATAGGAATGCAATAAAAGATTTCGTTCACCTTAAATTCCATGGGTATACCTATATTAGAAGGAAAAAAAATAGAAAAAAAAAACCAAAAGTAAGCAAGTCATACTATAAACTCACAAACAATAATATTTCAACATTTGCAACTAAAAACAAACATTATTTATACATAACTTTCATGTTTTTTTCTCATAATTGTTAATAGTTCTTGACACATAACAACTAATTAGACAAACACTAAATAATCAACCCACCCATAAACATTTTGCTAGGTCAGGCCCAATTCACCACACAATTCAACAATTTCAAAATGGGCCATTAAAAAATATATTTTCTAACTTTGGTCTAAGAACAAATCAATCCATATTACTTGGTTTCCTAAACTATGCCCTCACATAGAAGTAAATCATAAAAAACCTCTTAAAATATTACAACAAACTATATCTTTTTAAAAAAATTTAAATTCCTATCATTTCAAATATAATCAAAATTGTTCATTCAAACTCACATGCAAATTAAAAATCAATTCTAATACCTATAATTAGCATATAAATAACAGAAATATAATATAACACAACTCATTTATTCCCTTATCAAAGACATCATTATCATCTATCATTTAAAATACCTACAAGAAATACAATTCAAACTCATAACCTACTTAAAAAACAAAAAAAAACATGGAACTGCAACTATTATCTATTTTTATAAGCCGTTTGAAGATGTACGAACAGTTAATGATTACTTGTGTGACTCCTTATTAGCATTACTCTTGGAGACAACCAAAGAGTAATGCTAAAAGTGTCGGTAAAGTCATGTTTTCATTCACCACAACTTAACATAAACTAAAATTATTTATTTCCCAAACTTACAATACTGAATTACATCTTAAGCCAAGAAGTATAATGAACAATATCGACACTTGATATTTTTCAATTTTGACTATCGCACGCCCGCGCGCGATAGGTTAACTAGTTAATATCGTAAAAATAACACACGAATTTTATAACTCATTAAATTAGAGGTATACTAGATGAAGGCTCATATAAGAACCCTCCTCCATATAAGAATCCAATCTTATATAAGAACTCATCTCAACCGTTCAATGATTTTGATCTAACCATCTAAAATACACCTTTAGTAATGGCATTTCTGTAATTCTTTATCACTTTTTTTTTTCACATTTTAAACAAAAATACCCTAAATCTCTCACCTCAACCCTTTCTCTCTCCTCTCTTCAACCTTTTCTCTCTTCTTTCTCATCTACCTCAAGGAAAATTATTTGGTAAGTTTATGAATTGCTAAAAAATTCTGATTTAATTTTATTTTTTGATTGCTTTGATGTATTTCTTGATTTGTTGTTTGATTTTTCATTAGAATTTTTGCGTTTTTTTTTTTTTTTTTTTTTTTGCAATTTTTAGTTCGATTCTTTTGATTTTTGGTTCGATTTTTTTTATTTTTTTTTGCGATTTTAATTTTGATTTTTTAGTTTTTTTTTTTATTTTTCAAAATATATTTTTCGATTTTCCAGTTTTTTTTCCCCGATTTTTCAGTTTTTTTTTCCGATTTTTTATTTTCAAGTTTTTTTTTTATTTTCCAGTTTTTTTTTCCATTTTTTTTTCCGATTTTCCAGTTTTTTTTCTATTTTTTATTTTCAAGTTTTTTTTCGATTTTCCAGTTTTTTTTTTCGATTTTTTATTTTCAAATTTTTTTTCGATTTTCCAGTGTTTTTTCTATTTTCCATTTTTTTTATCTATTTTCCTTTTTTTTTATTTCTTATTTTCAATTTTTTTTCGATTTTCCATTTTTTTTTCTATTTTCCAGTTTTTTTTTTTTTTTGTCGATTTTCCAGTTTTTTTTTCGATTTTTTATTTTCAAGTTTTTTATTTCGATTTTTTATTTTCAAGTTTTTTATTTGTTTATTTTTTATTTTTTCGTTTTTTTGATTTTTTTTCCAGTTTTTTTTCGATTTCAAGTTTTTATTTTTCGATTTTTTTTCTCTTTTTTTTCCTAATTTTTTTCGCTTTTTTTTTTTTAGTTTCTAGTTTTTATTTTCGATTTTTTTTTTCAAATTTTTTTTCTTGCTTGAATTTTTCTATTATTGGATTTTAATTTTAGATTGTTTTTTTTTACTATAATAGAAAACTTTAGAACATAATAGAATTAGAGCATAAGGGATAAATATAATAGAACATAATAGAAAACTTTACTTTAGAACATGATAAAATACTTTAGAACATAATAAAAAACTTTAGAACACAATAAAAAACTTTATAGCATAATAGAAATACTTTAGAACATAATAGAAAATCTTAGAACATAATAGAAATACTTTAGAACATAAGGGAAAACTTTAGAACATAAGGGAAAACTTTAGATCATAATAGAAATACTTAAAACATAATAGAAAATCTTAGAACATAATAGAAATACTTTAGAACATAAGGGAAAAATATAATAGAACATAATAGAAAACTTTTGAACATAATAGAAAACTTTATAGCATAATAGAAATACTTAACAATATAATAGAAAATCTTAGAACATAATAGAAATACTTTAGAACATAAGAGAAAATTTTAGAACATAAGGGAAAACTTTAGAACATAAGGGGAAAATAATACATAAACTTTAATTACCTTTTTCTTCCATAAGTAATTTCAGATTATTTTTTTACTACAATTTGTATTTATGATAATTAGGTTTTGGCATATTCATGGATTTAGATGATGTTGAAGATAATTCTCCTTCTTCCACTGTTACTCATTCAGGTAATTTTCATTGTTTTAATACTTTAATTTCAATTTACTTACATGTTCTAAACTTTACTTAGTTGTATGTTTTAAAGTAATTTTGTGAATTTGTGGATTATGTTTAAAAGTTGTTTTAATGTTCTAAATTATTTCTGGTAATGTTCTAGAGTAATTCATTATGTTATAAACTTTTCCACTTTATTCTATTTCAATTTACTTATATGTTATAAACTTTACTTACATGTTCTAAACTTTACTTATATGTTTTAAAGTAATTTTGTAAATTTGTTAATTATGTTCAAAAGTTGTTTAATATTCAAAAAAATTTCTAGTTATGTTCTAAAGTAATTCATTATTTTCTAAATTTTTTCACTTTATTCTAAATTTTATTATGTATGTTATAAAGTAATTTACTATGTTCTAAAGTTTATTCTTAATGTTCTAAACTTTTTTCTGTATGTTCTAAAGTTTTCTATGTATGTTTCTCTTTCTCTTTATGTTCTAAAGTTTATTCTTAATGTTCTAATATTTTATTGTAAGTTCTAAACTTTTTTTCTTTTTATGTTCTAATGCAGTTGGTGTTATTTATCGTACTCCTGAGGTTGTTGGATCATTTAGCCCTGGTGGTACCACTAAGGAATGGATTCCAAGTGTTCCCGAAGAGTTAAATCCTTGTTTGGGGATGATATTCAAAGATCCCGAAGAGGGTCTTAGTTTTTATAAAGCATATGCAAATGCCGCTGGGTTTATTTCTAGGAAATCTACTACTTTAAGGAAGAAGAATAACAAAGCTATAATTGCTTTTCAATATGGAGTTTGCAATAAGGAAGGTTTCAAGGCAACAAAAAAACCTATTGCTCAACAAACCGTTGATGAAGAAGGAAAAGTTCGTATTACTAGGAAATGTTTAGTCACTCGTGTAGGATGCAATGCTCACATATGTATGAGATATGATGTCGGAAAGTATGTTGTTATTCATTTCAAAGAAGAACATAATCATTGTTTATATACTCCAAGTTGTGCAAAATTTCAAAAGGATAATAGAAAAATGCATATTATGCATAAGAAGTTGATTGTTGATAATTCAAAGGTGATTTATTTTTATGTGCCAAATATTGTTTTCTTTGTTATGATATACTATGTTCTAAAGTTGATCTTTAATCATAGTAATTTTTTTTTCTCTTTGTTTTTGTACACAGGTAAATGTTGGTCCTGTGAGGTCTTATATAATAATGAAAGAATTAGCTGGATCACGTGATAATGTTGGTGCATCTAAACAAGATTTCAAAAACTTTTATAGAGATTTGAAGACTTATATTGCTGCACCAGATGCCCAAATATTTGTGGATAACTTTCAAAATAAGAAATTGCTTTGGAGTGCCTTTTTTTTTTTTTTTTTTTTACTATGATGTTGATGAAGAAGGTAGACTTTGTAAAGCTTTATGGGCTGATCCTATTTGTCGAAAAAATTATGCACTTTTTGGTGATATGGTTTCTTTTTGATACAACGTTCCAAATAAACAGGTGATGTTCTAAATGTAGATTTTTTTTATGCTCCTAAATTAATATCTATCATGTTTTGATGTTCTAAACATATATTTCTTATGTTCTAAATTATGTATGTCTTATGTTCTAAACATATATTGCTGATATACTAAACATAGATGCCTTATGTTCTAAAATATTGGCAAGTTTAATAATTAAAATAAATTTCTATGCTCTAAAGTTATCCTTAATGTTCTAAAGTATACCTTTATGCTCCACAATTTACTTTTATGTTCTAAAGTTTATCCTTAATGTTCTAAAGTATACCTTTATGCTACACAATTTACCTTTATGTTCTAAAGTTAATCCTTATGTTCTAATATTTTCTGCATATATAATTTGTGTATGTTACAAATATAATATGATCTTTGGTCCATTTACTGGAGTTGATCATCATAAGAAATGTGTTACTTTTGCGGCTTCTTTTGTAGCTCATGAAGATATATCATCTTTTGAATGGGTTTTAAAAACTTTTCTTAAATCAATGGGAAATAACGAGCCTGTCTGTTTGATTACCGATCAAGACTCTACAATGAAAGTTGATGTTCATAATTTTTTCAAACTACAGAACATAGGTTTTGTATGTGGCATATTATGAAAAAGGTGCCTGAAAAAGTAGGTCGGGCAATTACCCAAGAAACTGATTTTTTGAAAAAACTTTGTGCATGTGTTTGGCATTTAGAGATTGAGCAAGCAGAATTTGAAGAAAAGTGGAACAAAGTTATTTCAGAATTCAATTTGAACGATCATGATTGATTGACAGACATGTTCAACATACGTGATATGTGGATTCCAGCGCATTTTAGAGATTTATTTTTGGGTGGCATCATGAGGACCACATCTAGATCCGAAAGTGAAAATAATTTTTTCACTATGTTCACAAATCACCATCTCACTTTGATTGAGTTTTACATGAGTTAATATGTAAATGTCTAAATATGTTCTAATTTAAATCTTTATGTTCAAAAGTTTTTCTTTAATGCTTTGAAGTTTTTTTTTTTTTTTTGTTTTTTTGTTTTTTTTTTTTTGTTTTATAGTTTTACCATTTTTTTCAACTCTCTTTTATTTTATAAATTTTGTCTTACATGTTTTAAAGTTTTAGTTTAATGTTTTAATAGTATTTAGATCATAATAATTATGTTATGTATATTATTTTAATATGTTCTAATGTAATTCACTTTATGTTCTAAAGTTATTTTTTATGTTCTAAAGTTAATTTTTATTTTCTATAGGTTTGAATGTGCATTGGATGCTCAAAGGCACACTCAAAATAAAATGTACAATGATTCGAAGAATAAGCGTCCAGAGTATAAGACTCCAATTCCTTTAGAAAAAGATGCTTCCGAGTTGTTTACAACAACAATTTTTTATGATTTTCAATATGAGCTTGAAATTGGATTTTTTTAATTGTGGTGTTGAGGAGATAAAGGACAATGAGATTTACATTTTCAAATTAAGGGAATGATCTAGGAGGAGGGCTTTTGATGTTGTTTTTTATCCAACTACCTTAGATACCAAGTGTTTTTGTAAAAAATTTGAACGTGATGGTGTGCCTTATAGACATATGATTTTGGTGTGGAAGGCAAGGATGTTAGAAAAAATTCTCAAGGCTTACGTTCTAAATAAATGGTGTACAATGGCGTATAAGAAGCCCATTTTTGATTTAGAGGGTAATGTTTTAGAGGAATGTCTTAATGCAGTAGATAAGAAGATGTTATTAAATGATCTGTGGTGTGAAATTCATGCTTGTGTGAGTTTAGTGCAAAACAATAAAGATGATCTAAGTGATCTTGTCAAAAAATTCGAGCCATGAGAATAGATTTGAAACAAAAGAAAACAACAAATGGAAGCAACAATTTTTGTAGCAAAAGTTAAAGACATTGAAATGCTTAAAACATAATAGAAATACTTTAAAACATAATAGAAAATCTTATATATATAAGGAAATAATGACATTTGATGAATTAAGAATGACATCAATGGAGAACAAACATCTAGATGTTATGAATGGCAAAGAGGTATCATTATTGTTTAAGTTACTGGCATTTGGTGAATTTTGAAAAACACCATGGTGAATTTTTTAATTACTAAGGCCTTGTTTGGTTTGATGTAAAATGTTTTCATGGAAAATGATTTTTCATTTTTTTACCCATTTTCCTTTCTTTGGTTTAGGAAGGGGTGGAAAACAATTTTTCCAAGGGTAAAATTTCATCTTTAATGATGGAAAACATTTTCCTTTACAAAATAAGGGAAGCCACATTTTCCTCTCTCCACCAGTTCTCCTTACCTCCTTTTTTTACTCCTCTCTCATTCATGCTTACATTTCCAATCCTATTTTTTATTGTTGTTGAACTTTTTTTTTTTATGCAACTAAGCATAGGAAAACTAATTTGTAATTGTGTTTTTCCTTGATAATATGTTTTCCATGAAAACTAATTTTCCATTGAAAATGTTTTACATTAAACTAAACTGGGCCTAACCGCAGTAAGTAAAATCGCCGAAAATAAATTGCTTATCAAAGTACGAGATCCCAACACATGTTAGAGTAGAAATGATAGTCTTTCGCAGAATCAGAACTTCCCAAAATGTAATTCCATCAACAATTTTTAGCTCACTATTCAACCAAAGATTAATACATAGAAATGCTTCATCAACCCCATTATCATCTTTGTGTTCATCAAATCAATCTTCCTGCATACAAAAACTGTTTCACAAAGATTGGTTATCTCCAAATGAAGTTGTTAAAATCTTCACTTCATAAGGACCCGATTCAGTTCTTCCTATGTTAGATCACATTTCAAAGCGCAAAGATTACAAACCTAATGAATCCCTTTTCAATGTGATCAACAACAAGCTTGGTGGAGCAAAAAAATTTGAAGCAATTGATGATATTTTGAAGGGGATTAAAACCCAGAAAAATTTCCGCATATCTGATGAGTTTTTCTATAATGTGATCAAGATTTATGGTAATTTGGGTGGTTTAGATAAAAGGGTAATCGAAATTCTTTTCGATATGCCTGAGTATAATTGTTGGCCTTCGACGAAAACCTTCAATTTTGTGCTGAATTTTTTGGTAATTTCGAAGAAATTTGATGTGATTTATGAGGTTTTTCTAGGTGCTACTAAGCTTGGGGTTGAGATTGATGCTTGTAGTCTTAATATTTTGATTAAGGGGTTGTGTAAATGTGGACAATTAGAGGATGCCTACCAAGTGCTCGACGAATTTCCCAAACAAGGGTGCAAACCAAATAAGGTGACTTATTCTACTATAATGCATTGTATGTGTGAAAAGGGTATGGTAGATGAGGCATTTGGGTTGATTAATAGGATGGAGAAAGAAGGGGTTTCACCGGATGCTGTAACGTTTAACATATTGGTTTCGGGTTTGCGGAAACAAGGGAGGATTGAGGAAGCAATGGAGCTATTAGATAGAATGAGGCTCATGGGTTGTGATCCTAATAAAGGGACTTATCAGGAGGTTTTGTATGGACTGATCAAGTCTAAGAAATTTGTTGATGCCAAAAACTTTGTGTATAAGATGAGGTCTAAGAGCTTGATTCCGAGCTTTTTGTCTTACAAGTTGTTGGTGTTGGGACTTTGTGAAGAGAATTTGCTTGGAGATGTGGAAAGTGTGTTGAAGAGTATGGTTTCGGTCGGATTCGTGCCCAGGATGGGAATGTGGAGAACTGTTCTTGGAAAGAATTTCCCAAGGCATGATGCCCCTGTGGCTGTATCTTTCAGTGAAATTGTAAAAGATTAGCAATTTGAATTCGAAATTTGGAAACTGAACCATTTTCACTGAGCTAGGGAACTAGCTAGGGCAATCAGAGGCGAAGTTGGAACAGCTAACAATCATGAGAATTAGGAATGTAGTAGTCTGATTAATGATCAAGAATTAAATGATCATCAACCATATTCTGAATGCTGGAAATCTTGAACTTCTTTTTGTTATGCCATCATGCATTAGATCGTTATAAGTTGTAACATTTGCTAACTTAAATATATTTCATATCATGACCCCGAAGATTGTTTAAATGCTTTTGTGTGGAACATGAATCCTGCCCTTGAAATTACATTACTTAAAGATTAACATTCTCATTTGCTAAACAGTCCAAGATTAAAAAGACAGAGTAGTACAAATGTACATGGTTTGTATTTTTGTAATGAACACTAATTCTATATTTTTATACAACCTGTATTGGCGTATACATTGCCGCCCAAAAAAAAAAAAAGAAAAAAAAACAATTTGATATTTTTTCAGAGTCTGATGCTTAAATGAAGTGCAACAGAGATTAATAATCAGGGTGCCAATGAAAGATCTGGTTTGGTTTCTAGTGCTGGTATAACTTTATCTCCTTCAGAACCACTGATATTACTGTCGGTACTTTTCCGAACAGGCTCATCAAGGATAGGCTTAATTATAACATTTTTCTGAACATGTTCCAAATGATCAGCATGTTCCAAATTAACATGTTCCAAATGATCAACATTTTCCAAATGATCAGCATGTTCCAAATGATCAGCATCGTCAATACCACTTCTTATCATAATGTTTGAAGTAATTGGAATTCCTTTGAGCGATTGATCGTAAATAGAGGATGATAATGAGTCTTCATCAGACGAATCAGAATCAAAAGGAATCTCCTGTTTTGAAATATCTTCCATTTTCTTGGAATCAGAGTCCAAAGAAGACTCCTGTTCTGAAGCATGTTCCTTTTTCTTGGAACCTTTCCTTGAAAATGACTGCTTCAAATGGCGTGCTGAATTTTTTGCGCTATTTAAAATTTTCTTCGCTCTGTCTTTCACATCATGCTTGCCTGAATTCTCAGCTCCACTTCCCTCATTACTCGACCCTCCAAGTTTTCCGTCAGCAGAAAGAGGTCCAGAATGGTCTTTATCCACTATAAGATTGACCCCGACTTTTTTAAGGTGAGCAGCTTTGACATTAGAATGCAACGATGGATCAGCAACTTCAGAGCTCTTCGTTTGATCTTCTTCACTCTCATGATGCCTGTTGAATACCTTGTCAAAACCCCTTTGAATTATGTTACCTCGCTTGGATTTGTGGTCTTCCTTACTTTCATCACCACTACTACTACTGTCAACTAGCAGAGATGATTTTGGTGAGTCTACTGAGTGGATCTCAGTATCACCCTGTCTATTCTTTCCTTTCCTTGGTTCCCATGTCTGAGAAACTTCGCCTCCAGGATGATGGACCCACATTCCAGTTTCCTTTTGGCCTTCAATATCAATTGGTTCAAATGTATCAGCAAATGGTTGTGGGTTAGCAGCTGAGATAGGTCCTTGCTCAGCCTTTTCACTTTGAAGTGATTCTGATTTCTCCGACACTGACCTCAATTCTCCAGATGTCTGCTCCTTGCCCTGAAAGCATTCTTAATAGGTGTGAACACTGAATAATTCCAGCAATTCATATATATACAAAAAATGACTTCATACACTAAAAAACCCAATAAACACATTTAAAATAACCTTTCCAATTGCCTCAACAACAGTAATAGCCAGATGCAATCTTCCAATTTTGACATTTTGAAGAGGCAGCCACATGTCATGCCTATGGCCATCCCTAAGCTCATTGATGTTTACTGAACAATTCCTGTTACAATAGAAGGATCATTTAGCATACTCAAGACAAAGTCATACTGTTTTGGAGTTATAACTCAAATGCATAGGCATATTCAAAAGCTCATTTCATAGGCATACATCACTTGTATCAGGCCTAAATCAAAATCAACAATACGCAGTGCTTTTAAAGACACAAAATTGGGTCAGGGGAGGGGAGAGTGGAGAGGGGTTGGATTTGAGAAAACTTGCCCCAGAATATTAAGGTATTATTCACACTTAATCCTATGTGTGAATGTGGCAACTCGATCTGTGCCATAATACAATTGACAAGAAGCGCACAATTAAGTGAGCGCTTTAATTTAGTCAATCATCATCAGAAAGCCAAAAAAGCAATCTGTACCCTTTGAAAAAGCATGGAAGTAGCCGATTGATGCATGAGAAGAAGATGCAATTGCTTTTTCTTTGTTTACAGGGGTGACTGGGTGTAGAATTTTTGGTACTTCTGCAAAATCATACTCAAAAGCCAAAACCCACTAATTTCTACCTTGTACTTTCTAATCCACCACTTAACCATTGTTAGACTAGTTTCTAACCAATCCTCTTAAACTTTATGCTACCCTTAATCAGCAGGGCAGACAGAAAAATAATAAGCAATAACAAATGAGACAGCCGAGATAATAGTGATATTCAAATCTGGCAGACCATAATATGGGCCAAAATGTCAAATAATCATTTTATCTCTCAGATCTTTTATTTATTTATACATCTCATATTTTCTCATGTACTTAATAATACTCCGTTATAAACTGTATAAATGACATTAAAAGGCTAGTCAAACTGGGTGTACTGCAAGTCTGCAGTAATATACATGGAATACCAACCAATATACTTCATTCTTTTTTAAATGCAATGCAGGGGGTTTTACACTTGCCAATGCACATTTTATACAATCAATATCTTTAATTAGACTTTAGCAGTTGCCCACATGATTTAAAAGTACATATAACGACAAATCTAACAAAACCGCCCATAACTATGTTTTTCCTAATGCATAAATCACTAAAGACGGTCAAAAGAGTATGTGAAAATAGTGTGAATTTTCTGATGTTGCAATTAAAATAGAATGGAGTAAGTACGATTCAATTATTATTATAGTTGGATTATCAATATACCCATAAAGTGAGAGCATAAGAGATTGAGGACCAACCCAAGAACATCATCCACTGAAAAATGGTCCTTGTCAAGAACTTCCATTGCTAATACATTTTGTCCCTCCCATGAACAGATAGGGACCTTAAATTCCTCTTGCCATTTAGGAGTCAATGTCTTCTTCTGTACTTGAGTCCTAAATCTGTACTGACCAAGTTGCCCTTTCACATAAGGATCAGAAAAACCTGAAGAGTAACCAGAAATTACAAGTTATAACCAATTAACAATAACTATTTGCAAGAAAGCAAAAATGGGCACTAACCATTGAGGTCTGAAGCTTTCAGCTCCACTGCTTCAACAACTTCCACATTTGCATAAGCAAGAGGTTCCTTTACATCCACAGAGAACCACTCTTCTGTTTCATCATAGCCAATAAACTTCATAAGTAAATAAAGACTACACACCAGCACATATATAATGTCTTACTTTAATCAACACAACTTCAAAGTCAACAACCAACAATGACTAAATTTTTTTTGGCCGTCTTTTCTCTTTCCCAGCACTGATTAGCCACACTCCTGAATTCTTGATTTACAAATCCTTCAACAAGCAAAAAGGTAAAATTGAAAAGCTCACAATATTTTTTTTTTTATTTTTTGGTGTTTCACCCGGTTCACTCTTTGGGCTAATCCGGATTCGGGGATCAGTTCTGGGTGGTTAGGTTCCCGTCCCCGGAAAGCTCACAATATTCAAGCAATGGATTTCTTAAAGCCAAACTTGAAGGTCCTGAATGTAGACAATAATGTTGAAGTCTTAAAAAAAAAAAAAACACACACACACACACCAACAATTCAGCTTCTATACACCAAAGCCCAAAATGACACCATCCTTCCTTGTTAAGGTAAGACTTGGGAGTTGGGACCCAGCAAAGTAACTATTACAGGCCCAACTGTAAATATCCCACCACCCCCCCCCACCCAAAAAAAAAAAAAAAAACAAAAAAAAAAGAAAAACAACACTATACTCTACCAGCCACCCCTATCAGAAACCTTAATTAAACCAATAACCTTGGAATTCGACAACGTGCTAGTGTAAGCATCAATAGGAACTCTTCCTCTATGGCCTTAGGTCCTTATGGCCTAGGTCTACACACATATATATCAACTTATCACACAATCCTTTTCTCCATGCCTGCCCATATTTGCAGTAACTTTCTAACAAACTCGCTGATTTGTACAGATATACACTATGCTGAATAACTTACCAGATTCAGCATATACACAACAGGCTAATGAGGTACTGCACAGACAGTTTGCTGAATAACTTACCAGGTTCAGGTGATACAAATTTCTCCATGTCAACAACTAGCATATTGGGCTGCCAAATTGTACAAATCGACTTTAGAACAAATACATATATAGAATAGAAGTTAACACAAATTTATAGCCAATATAAGAGCTGGCCAAGAAGAGCAGAAATTACCTCAACAAGCGTCTCCTCAAATGCAACAGCCAAAAGATTATCCTAAGACACAATCATTAATTATAATAAAGAGTTATATGAGACAGTGATGACAATAGAAAAAATAAAACTGATTGGAACATGACATGGAATTTTTTTACCAGCCACCCAGCGATTCCAGGTAATTCTGTTACATCAAGACCATGATTAAAGAGTGGTTTGACAGTCATCTGAAAGTATGGAGGTTCAGCAAAACACACACGCAATCGTCCTATGAATGGCCAAGAGCGTAGAAATTTCACGCCAATCAGCACCTAAAACAATCACAGTACGCAAGGACATCTGTAACTGTCAGCTGTGGATTCAAATTCCAAAATCCTCAAATGTTAGATTATTCAACAAAGTCAAACAAAAATTTCACCCACGTCAAACATGAACCAAGTTCAAGCCTGGAGGCCATAGACACAGATTTACAAATTCAAAAGACCCTGAAAAATCCCTTAAAGACCCAGACCCTGTTCAGCAATAAGTTTTTTAGTAGATAAAAGAGTTTTAACCATATCAAAATGTGGCAATTATAAAAGAATGGAAGAAGTAATGCTTACTCCATTGCTAGAAGTCATTCAAAGGAAATAATTTAGGCACCCTAATAATTTAAAACCATTCAATCAATAGCCAAATAAAATTACTTGTTAAGCTACCTACACTTCGAAAGAAGAAACATAATTTTGGCTCAAATCAAGGTTCCAAGGGAAACACCTAGTCCCCTAACCTTAATTATTGTAGGGTGAAACCTACTTGCATCTAAATTTTAAAATAACCTCTGGTTAATCAAAGATGGCACTGACAATTAACCGATGGTATGATACGAAAAGACATATTACTGTGATGTATGACGATACATACTAAAATAAGTAAAATTCAGCATAAACACAAAAGCACAACATGGCAGCACGTGGGCTTGAATTGTGCCTGAGTCCACCTTATG